GGGTTCCTCTGGCTGCTGGAAAATCTCTGGCAAAATGTGAAGCTCCGCTTGCCTTCGGGTGAAGCTGGTGTGTTTCTTCTCCGAGATGAAGTCATGGGCAGGGATGGGTATACCTGGGTGGCTGTACGAGTTGAGGAGTGGAGCCCCCACTTTCTGGTTTGCTGTTCTGGGATGTTTTGTTGTCTTGTGTGATGTCCAGGTGAGCCCTGTGGCTGAGCAAAGTCTGCTCAAGGCAATTCCATCTGTTCTCTTTCACCTTGACCTGTTTTGTTTGTAGTCTGGTCCTGCTGCCTTCGGCCGGGCCGTGCTCTGGGTGAGATCAGCAGGTGAATCCCCACGGCAGCAGAGACTTCCTTATGGTAACAAAACAGGTTGTGGCCTCCCTCTACCTGACACTTCTCCACCTCCTCACCGGGAGCGTGTTACTGTGTTGCATGACATAAGCTACCTGAAAGTTCAAAGTGAACACCCGTATCCTTACAGTATCGAGAGCCTGGGAGCCTGGGTGTGCTGTGAAGCAACAAGTGGTCCTTGCCACACGCCTCTGCTGGGTCTGGGGCAGTGCCAAAAGCTGTCCTGGCCAGGTGACTTGAAATGTGTGGGCAGCAAATGTTTGAGGCAGGACCGAGACCCGGCGTGCACACACACACACGCACGCTGCTTTAATGAACGTATTCTCATGCCTGTGATGCTGGGCTCGGAGTTGCACTCTGGGGAAGCTCGGTTCCCAGGATTTCTCTTTTGGAGCAGATGTTCCTTCGTCCTGTAAGCTCACTGCAGCCTGAGATTTTGTCTGTCGTCTTGGTCGAGTATTGCCGCACTAGTTTATGGATGGGCTGCTGCACAGCATCTTACTTGCCAGGACAGCGGGCTAAATGTCTTGTACTTTGTGAGTCAGCCATGCTTTGCACAAAACTGGCACTGGAAGGAACTGGTATGTCTTCATGGGCTGTATACAGATTTATTTATTTCCGGGGCAGGCACAAAATCTAATAGTAAGGGATAGATTAGTCATAGCTAGGTGGCATCACCTAGCTCAAGTGGTATGAGCACTTTACTGCCTTTCCCTCCCAGGTCAGGTGTGTAAGCAGAACTCAGGGCCACGGGCAGAAGCTGGGGAGACTGTCATGTCACTAGTGTTATGCCAGAATTGAAGAGGTTTGCTGCTGAATGGCTGAAACCCAACTGAAGTGACATTGTGAGCTTCGTATCCTGGCTGTTGTGGGCTTGGCAACTGCACAGCGGGAAAGCATTGGTGGGAGAGAGCCTTTGCTCATGCCTGTGATGCAGCCAAGCCCCAGCCCTGCCTTTTCGCTGAGTTACTGTCAGAGCCATGGCACTGGTCTCCTTGCCTCAGATCTCCAGACTTTTACCGGGCAGTTTCCAGAGCTGCCAACCTTATGTTTTCCTGTGTCACATTTGTGTGGCCGTCAGCAAGTGGGCGGAACAGAAATGTCACTGAGTGTGGAGATGTGGAAAACGTCAGTGGCCGATGTGCCTGGCTGGAAGCAGTAACGGAATTCTGCTTCTCTTGTGGTGCAGGGACCACTGGTGTGTAGGTCTCCACAGGGCTAGAAGCAGGACTGGGATGACTGGACACACATGATATGTAATTATCTAATTATCTTTGCTTAAGAGTAAGTCCTGGAACAACGTTGAAGATGATCGTGTGGGTCAGTAGCAGTTTTGGAGCAATAGTCTAACCATTAAATGTAGTGTTTCCAGGGCTGCCTTAGAGCTGCTCTGGCCTGGTGCTGGACGTCAGGGTTGATGGTTCTAAGTTGTGGATACAAAATGTGAGGTTGGGGAAGCCTGGACGCTACTTACTGGAACCACGTGTAGACACTTAAGTCCCGATGCCCTAAGGGTCATTTATTTGAGACTCCCTCTCAGTGCTATCCCAGCTGGTGCGTCCATTTAGACGATAGGCGCAACATACCTAGATCACAGGAGGTGAGGAGTGGAGAGGGCTGGTGGCATCTCCTTTCATGTCTCATTTGAGGAAGAGGAGTTAAATGGTGGTAGCGGCCATGCTCACAAAGCTAATAGGAGAGCCGGCAACTTCCATTTAGGAGGCCTTAGGCAATCAGATGTGCTTTGAGTGTCCAAAATCAGGTGAGGCTTTGATCTGTCTCTGGAGTTAAAAGGGGCTGAGATCCTCCAGGCGTCTGTCACCTGGATACCTCTGCGCTCAGCGTTGCTTGACAAGTGCAGTGTGAAAAGTGTGGGTGCTCCTGCTGCGGCAGAGAGACCACAGAGATGCCAGATGTGAAGCAGCATCATGGAGCCATCTTCAGATGAACTGGGACAAGATTAGTGGTCTCCGTGACAGGCAGAGCCAACGCAAGTGATGATTGACCTCTCAGAAACCTCGCAATTCCCCTTTAAAATGGGTGTAAATCTTGCAGAGACACTACTTCTCAGTTACGTGTATCCTGTGTGTGCATCCCTCCTCCCTGGCGGTCATCCTGGAGCTGGCTTTCAGTGGACGAATTGACAATTAGCCCTTGCATGGCAGCTCTGCTGCAGGCTGCAGAAAGCAAAGGCAGCCAGTGTCTGTCTCTCCCATCCCTTCATCCTCCGTGGAAGGACGAGTCAACAGCAGTATTATTTTTGTCCTAGCAGTAGCTGCTGCTGTCAGCGTTAACCTTGCAGGAATACCTGCGACACCCGGCACACTGGACCTGCATGCTAGTGGTGTAGCAATAAGTGTAGCCCTCGCATTCCTGTGTGGCACGCCTGAATATCCACCGTCTCGTTAGGGTAATCTTGTACCCTGGAGACTATTTGCTTAGTGAACAGTGAAGGAATAAAAATTTTACTACCTCTCCCAGGTCGTATGTTTGGTATATATCATCCGATGATTATTCTGGGAAAGGCTGTCCTTTGCCGCTGCAGCGTATGGATCCCTTATCCTCCCGCAGGATCCCCCTCCCATTGATGTCAGAGGAGAAGTATGTGCACGGGGGAAAGGGCAAAATATAACAGTGGAGAGCCGGGAGAACTTTGCCCAAATGCAGAAAGTACTGCTGGGTGTCAGCAAATATCCACGCCTGCACTCCAGCCTTTCCAGCCTGTGTGCCTGCAGTCAGGTGGAGGAGGCTATCAGCTGTCGTGCGTGGCTGGAATGGGGCAAGCCTTCGATCAGTGTTGGAGGAGGAGGTTATTTTTAATTTGTCCCTCCCAGGTGTCTGAGTTGTGGCCTTTCCTCTAGCTGAGAAGCAGTACCTCCATGTGGAGCAAAGAGAAGAGCTCACCTGTCTCTTTCATTGAGTTTCTCAAAGGCAAGAGCCACATTATGGTGGCTTTCGAACTGGGACCTTTGGATTAAAAAGCAACTGCTGAGATTACCTCAGATCAAGGAAGTATGCAAGCTGGAACAGAAATGTGGAGGCTAAAAGAGATGATCAGCTGGCTTAATCCATCTAGTGAACCAAGTATGATAGAAGTGAATGTCTCGGGAACCTATAACGTATTTTGCCTTGCCGTCACTTAGAGATTATAGCATCAGTCGGTGGGGAACAGGAATCCCCCACGGGTCACTGACTCTTGCTAGTCTCAGGTTTTCATCATCCTTGCTGAGAGAGCAGCTTGGTCCATGGAGCACTCCTGAAATATTCCTCTGGTTCTTGGGGAAAAAGGACTGACTCGGTAAATCTTCTTTTCCCAGCTTCATGGGGGACAGCGGGTCCCAGGCTGAAGCTCAAAGGCTGCTGTTCTAGCAGTAACTGAGCTGCCACCGGCTGTCAGCCGACGGCCTCGTCCTTTAACTTTCTGTCGTGGTGACTCAAACTGGCCTTGCAGTAGTGTTAAAGTGCTTCTGCTGGTGAAATCTGTGGAGAGCACAGTGGTGTTGAAAAAAAAAAAATCCCACCCTGAAAGTAAACTTGCTGGGCCTGCCCCGCTGGAGTGAAAAGCAGGTTCTGCTGAGTCACACTAGCAGGCACAGATGTCCAGCTTACTCTCCTGTACAAGTCAAGATGCTGCCATCGCTGGTCTGTTAGTGTGGCTCTTTGTCAGACTTCATCTTTTGCCCTTTCTTCTAAAGCTTCGTGGAAACCTGCCTTACTAGTTTTGCAAACACTGGGGAAAGGGAGGTAAGGAGAAGGAATGGTATTTTTAAAAAAAAACCACTCAAAAACGCCCTGTCGCTGCAAGATGGGTAGTCCTACTGTTCTTGTATCTAGCCGGAATAAAGTGTAAAGGAAGCTTTTAGATGAGCTGCAGGAAACCCATAAATCACGACTAGATTTAACCCGAGATGTAATGAAACTTTCTAATAACTGGAGTTGAATTGGAGTGATCAAGAAATTACGAAGGCACACTCCCTCCATTAGACATGCATGACCTGACAAGTTAATAGAGGCAAAGAGCCCAAAGACACAAATTACCGACTTCTGTGGAATGGGGCTGATGACTAAGCAGTTCATGAGCAGGTTACTTTATGACCACAGCAGGAGCGTAAGCCGAGTGCATTCCATGCCCAGCTGGGGCAAACATGGACTGCTCCTCGTGGGCTGGCCACAAAGCTGCAAGTCCTTGTGTTGGCCTTAAATCCTGTGTGGAAACGTTCTTCTAAGGAGTAGAATACCTTAAAGCTGTGCCTGTGCAGGGCTGTACAGCCTGAAAGATGTCAAAACACTTCATGAGCTGAATCGCTGAGAGAAGAGACTGAGGGCCCTTGCTCCCTGGGGTACCCAAACTCCTCAGCCTGCGTGGTGCACTCTCCTATTGTGCGTGATTCCCGCATCAAACCTGCTGACCTGCAGTTACCTTCAGCAGGGATGGTGAAGGGAGGACAGAAACATACCCGTTTTCTTCTAGGGTCCTGCTGAGATAGGTAACACTGGCCCAGGAGTCGTAAGACGGTTGGTAACCTCTCCAACCCATAGAGCAGATGAAGAGGGTTGGGTATCTCGCATTAGCTGCCTTTGCAAGTGGGCTTCTAACTGGCAGTGGGTGTCAGTGCAGGAGCTGTCCGGCCGTTCAGGCTGCTCATAATCCGAGTCGGCCTAATTTCTGCCTCTCCTGTGTAATCTGCCTAAGCCTGTTCCTGCCCAGTTTCACTCAGAGAGTGGGTGAGAGGTGGTCACAGATAGTGAGCTTACGTTTGATCCCTGTTCTGCATTAAAAGTTTGTGTTTCAGTGATGTTTCTTCGGGCTGCCTTATATAATATAGGCAGTGGATCACTCAGACCTGTATTTTTTTTCAGCTTACCACTCTGCATTTTTCCTGCTAAGATAAAAGCTTCTATTCTTTCTGTATTAATTTGATAAGTACACCAGCGGAAATACCTCATTGTGCTTGAAAAGGTTCTCATTTTGACTCTTGTTTTTATTCTGCTACAGGTTACCTATTGCAAGCAGTCCTGGGCACAACAGTAATCCCGTTATGTGGGGTTGGTGAAATGGAGAACTGCACAACAGCACTACGTAAGTGTCTGGCACAGCTCTGTAAGCCCCAAGTCTTTGGTTCCGTCTTCCTTGGGCTGGTGGTCTCACCAAGATGCCCTCGGAAGTTATTATTCTGTCATGCAACATGGCCACCATCCTGCAAAGCGCTCGATGTCTTTGAGCAAGAACTGTTTTTTAGCCTGCATTTCCTTTACAATAGCTTCTTCAGCAGAAGAGCTCTGTCTCAGGTGAGAACTCTGCTGGAAAAGCAGAAGTAGTTTATGTGGAACTCGCGAAGGAAAAGTCGGTACAACTGTGGCCTGGGAAAATCCTCTCCCTGTTCAGCTTTAATGCCTGCTGCAGTGGAGGTCTCTTGATAGCCAGAGTGCTATCAAGATGTTTGCCCGTCATTTGCGACATAAAAAGAGAGAATCAGCCTGATGAGATGCTAACAAAGTCTCCTTACAGTCCAGACAGAGAACAGTCCCCGCGTGGCTCAAGTTGGGATAACGAGATGCAAGCCTGAAATGAAGGACTACTGCTTCCACGGGCAGTGCGTGTACATTGTGGACCTGGATGAGCACTACTGCAGGTACCGGCAGGGCGTGATGCATCCCGCGCGCTGCCCCGAGGTGGGCTTTGAGGTGAACTGTGTGTGGCCTTCCAGCTCCCTGCCCTTGGCAGTTAACCAGAACACCAGTCCAGCAGGGTATTTACGGGCTCACAAGAACCTGAAGATGGGCAGTATATCTGTAACACGCCTCAGCTGCGTTTTACACAGGTTTTAAGCACATACACAGGCTCCAGTGAAACTTGAGTGAGAGCCTTGGACACCTATAATTAGTCAGCAAAGCAACTGAGACTTGGGATGTTAATTCTGATGCGCTTCCCTCTTCACCTGTATTTAGTGTAAAAGCAGCAAGGTCTCTCCTTTGATCCGTCCTACAAATTAAAGACCCGACAGGCATTTTTAAGGGTATTCCCCATTTGCTTGAAGAATTCTAGGACCACGTGTGCTTGAGTTACCTCGGTTCAGATGTCTCGTCCCCAAGGAAGCAGCAGGCCAGCAATACAGCATGCCTTGTGGGCTCTACAGTGTAGCCCCACGACGATGTCTCTTAATTCTGCATCTCTTACCCTCAGGTGTGACGTAGGCTTCTCTGGCGTCCGATGTGTGCATTCAGAACTTGTCAGACAGCCCCTCAGTAAGGAGTACGTGGCACTGACGGTTATCGCAGTTCTGCTTTTCCTCATCGCTGTCTCTATCGCGACCTACTACGTCTGCAGAAGGTAAGAAAGGTTTTTCTCTGTGGCTCGGGAAGGCAAGTTAGCTGTACGTGTGGTAAGATGTGTCCAGACGCACTGGGATACCGACAGTCGCTCAAGTGCACTGAGATGGTTTGATACACAGAGCTGCCAGCCTGCGCCTAGCAAGGTGCTCAAAAACCCCGCACTGACTGCGTAGCATAACCCACATGGCAGGCGAGGCAACAGTGCCCTCTGCTTTAAACCCTGGTGGAGGACTGTAGGGGTTAGTTCCTGTCTGTCTTAAAGGGTGTGTTAAGATAAAGGACACAGCAGGTAGGGAATAGGAAAATGTTAGTTCCTTTCCTTGGTAATGCCACTTCCCCAGTTATCAGAAAGGGGAGAGCAGTTAATACTAGCTGCCATGTTACTGTGGTGACTGTGATATCGGGAGCTTTGCCTTACCAACTGGAGCGTGGAGGACAGTAGTCTTCTCCGTTAACAGACTCACAAGCAGCAGTTCTTCAGGCTAACAACTAATCGTAAGCAGCTTTCAGAGAGCCAAGAAGGTGGAACAATAACCCTCAGAGGGAGATCAGCTCAGCCTCACAGACCTGGGAGCTGTAATTCCTCCTCCCTGCCCGACGGCTTGGTGGCGCGGTGTCTCAGACAGCAGATGGCCTAGCTGGTTAGGGCACTCAGCCCCATTGCAGGGAAGGATCCAGCAGGATTTCTCAAAGGCAAACCTAGTACCAGCAGCGAGACTTTAATGCAGATGTGAAGTCTTCAGTGAAGAGTTGAGAAATGGGACTCTGCGTGCAAGTTATCCCAGACCTGGAGATGAGCACAGACAGAGCCTAGCTGCTAGAGATTTAATACAAACGTGAGGAGGTCATGCAGCCTTTTTTTTTTGCTTTCTTCACCCCACCCTTCCCTTCGCTCCTCAAAAACCCATTTGGCACAACTGGCTTTTCAGAACTCACGCTTCTCTCCTCTACTTCCAGGTATCGGAGCAAGAAGAGACGAACAAACACCGGCGAATACAAGGAAGTTGGCACCCTGTAGGAGAAACGGTGGCTGCGACAGTGTTCCGTTCATCTGGCTGGACTCAGTGGCTTCCCATGTATTTAAATGTTATTTTTATTAACAATATTTACAATATTTATATACTTTTAAAAATTTCAATTGTTTGGTGATCCAATCCGTATAGGTCAAGCATTTTACTTTCAGTGTTTTATTTTTTTATTAAATAATATTTCCTAACAAGAGCCTCGCCTAAGTGGTTCTGTGGGATAGAGATATATTTTTATAAAAGCTCATCTTCTTACTCTGAAGAGTAATTTTATATTTATTCTTGTGAATATGCTCAAAACAATTCTACTGCTTAAAATAAAAGTTCTAGACCAAGTCGTAACGTCTGTGTGTTTTGATTGACGTGCAGCTCGGCATGGCTTGGCTGAGCGGCGTGTTCGAAGCCCCAGCAGTTATTGTGGGAGGGAGGCAGGCTAAGGG